GTGCCGGGGACAGCCGGGCTCCGGGGGCCGGCGGCCCGGCGCTGCTGCAGGCTCGGGCAGCCGAGCCACTGAGCCAGCACGCCTTCCCCAGGAAGAAGCCCGCCACAGTGGACGGCAGCAGGAAGGCTTACAGTCGGAAGTGGCACTGGAGAGTTTCTAGCTCGCCCCAAACTCGGAGCCATCAGCTCCCACTGTTCTGTTTGGAAACAGCTTTGCGCCCTGCGCGCTCTCCCGGGCGAAGGCAGCCGCAGATAGCATCTGAGAACCCTAGACAAAGAAACAGCAGAATCTCATCCCTCGATTTGTTTGCGCAGCCTTGTAGGTCTGCCCATGAAGCCTCGGGGCTTTTTTTTTTTTTTTTTTTTTTTTTTTTCTGTTTTTGCAACGCAAACCACAGCTATTCTCTTGTCCTAACGTTATTGGTTTAAATGCAACAATTGAAAGGAGCATTGCTCTGACTCAACCTTGCTGCTTTAAAAAAAAATTATTATGTAAATGAACGCGCCCCATGCTATCTGAATAAACAGCTGTGTGAGAATAACTTCTGTGACACTGTCAGCACACACACAATCCTCCCGCTGCAGTAGCGCCCAATTAAGATCTTTGGGGAGTAGTTAGTTACACGTTATCTTTTTACACTTCTCCAAAACTTTTTTCAGGCCCTGAAACGTGGGGACTCAATACTTCTCAGAATTTTTTTTCAGATGTACCTACCCACTGACACGTCCGGGAAAGATAAAAAGCAGATAAAAAGTAAAATAGTTCTTCCCAGTAAGAGGAGAAAGAAAAAGCGAACTTGTAAGCTGTTACCAATTTAACAATGAAAGCCCGCCTGATGATTCTGCAACAGTTTCTAGGATGGCAAGCCCTCATTGAACAAGCCTTAGCAGGCGAACCAGATAACATTTCAGCGTTAATATTTTCAGATGAATTTTGGGAAAAGATTAATTTCACCTAGAACCGTTTCTCACAGCCTGTTTTCCTAAACGGTCTAACTAAGCTCAGTACCTGTATTGATACATGATCTACTGACTCACCTAGAGATTTGAGCTTCGTTAAGATCTCACCTTCTATGCAGATAAACGACTTCACTTATAAGATCAATGACAGTCATTATATTGATTTCAAATACTTAAAAAAGGCATCGCTTATGTGGACTAATGATTATACTTTAATTTGCTGGCCTAATAAATACAATTTTTTTTTTGCTACTATTCACTCAGCAGAACCAAATTTGTACTGTAAAATACAACCGTTGTCCCCATTGGACTATTCTTAAAACTCTTTTGTCATTATCAGTAATGCTATTCTATTTATTTGATCTTTTTATTCAAAAACAATCTTCTTTCTTAGACTTTAAAAATCACAGTAATTTGCTAAATGATCATATAATACACTTCTAGATCATCAACTAATAAAATAGAAAGTCTTACTTTTACTTTGCTAATTTGTAAATGAAATAACCATTCCTATACAAACCAAACATTTCTAATGACCAAAATGCAAGGCAAGCTTCCCCCTTTCCCCCCTCACCCCTGCAAAAGATGCCGGTCTAAATTCCTCAGAAAACGAATGCCTTGTCAAAGCTGAGAGACATCTCAAACTGCAGACTCACCTAGGATTTCATTTTGTATAGTACTGGCAAGGAACCATGGGTTAGGCATCTACCATATTTGGGAAGCCAGGTCACTACACAGTTGATTGCTATTGGATCTGTCCATATATGCGGCAGAAATAGAATTATGTTACCACCTACAGCTCTCTCTCAGGCCATAAGTATCAGTTATTCAATATACTAAAGTATATACGCAGAGAACAAAATATAGACTGTAAAGGAGATTTCTAGTGTTGTCAGATAAAAGGAATGTTAACTTAATTCAATCTGTGGTATCAAACAACTCACACAATAACTGCTTTTCCAATCAGATTTATTACTAAGTGCCATAAAATATAAAATTTGAGGTGTTGGTAAAGAATTATACCTTATTTGAAACTCTACAGGCAGCTATTTTACCCATGTGTCCCATGGAGTAAATTATTTTAGACATACAGGTTAAAATGTTATTTTTCTGACCCATGAAAGATTATATTGGCAAATTCAGAATACACAAACTATGTGAAGTAAAAACAGCAGAAATATTGGGTAAAGTACGTCATCTTTACATACAAAGTACTCGTCAACATCTCAGTAAAATTTATGTTACATGTGCTTTTACATTGGAATTATATTTTTTGTTATATAACCAAACAAAATACCATTGAAGAAATGATACGTGAAATTATGAAGAAAATTATGAAAAGCACGATGCATTTAATGTGACCACTAATTGGCATGATGAAGCTCATGCTTCATAAGTATTTGACAAAGCTTAGTAACTGGCTAAAGTATATCCATGTGCATATTTACCACTTTTAAATAGTTTCCTTTTCCTAAAGCAAAACTAGATGGGTTAAAAACAATCATATGTTTATCTATAAATTTTGTCTGGTTACTATGTCTAACTACAAGTATATAATAATTAGTATGATATACAACTTAAACAAAAAATAAGTTACTCTATGATTAAGTAATCAAAATTTAAGGCATTATTAAGACCCAGCTTATAGTAAATGTTAAATTCCTATTTCAAAATTTTCACAAAGTCTAATTACATAAGTTAACCAGATACTCTTATGGATCAAACTATCTCCTAAATGAAGTCATAGGGAGCACAAATGGTTTTAGGAAAATTTGCTAAATATTTACCGTTATTAAGAACAGGCAATAATAGAAAACATGTCTATCTGATATTTGCTGCAAAAATCACAACCCATAAATGCGTGAATAAGAGCTTAAACTTTCCCCAGTATGTGTTCCCCAATAAAACAAAACTATACATGTCATTTTACCTGGAAAGGAAAACACTTGAACTAGTCGACTGTAAGGAAATGCCCGAATACTTCCAATGAGATGCAAAGATCTCTTATACACTGTATCTCCGAGCAGGTTCATCTGGCAGAGCCAGCTGTTGTTTGGATACGTGCCCAGATATATACGAGAAGTCTGTAACTTTGATAGAAGTTTTCAGTGCTTTTAGAACAGCAGAGAGGTTTAATAAGGGCATGATCACAAAAATAAACAAATGTCCTTAATTAAATTTAAAAAAGGCCAGGATAGATATAAGGCATTCATTAAAGCAGTTCAGATGGTAACTTGGAACTTTTCTAAAACTACATGTAAACAACTGATTAATCAAATTAAACATAATGACTAAATACTGAGAAAACAAGGGATACAACACAATGTCTCTCTTTTCTATTCCAGGAGCAACAACGAAGTTCTTGGATGACTGTGAATTTCAGTAGAAGATGTATTTTCCTTCTGTGCATGTCTACCTCAAAATATCTTCAGGGGTAAGCATGCATCCTATGACCTGGTCCAACACTGATTTGCTGCATAGATAATTCCTGTGAAATGATTATTCTCAAGAGGAATGGTAGAAATGGTTGGAAAACAGAAGTAGCAAAAACCAATGCATTGTCTCCAAATGCAAAATTCTACTCAATATTTCTCTGCCATTAGTAAAATCACTATCTGGAAAAATGTAATATGTTGCACTGAAAACCATTCAAAGCAGAGTATTCCCAAATACTGTCCTTCGGCTTCCTGATCGTTTCATTCTCTTGTGGTCCACACCATGGGACAACATTTCCTTGTGGAACCTCTGGAACTGTGTCCAGATGACGGGGATTATGACGCTTGCTGGCATTTGAAGTGGCCACTACCACGACCTGTGCTCTCCCTACCGGCACGAGACCTGCAGAGAAGGTCCTGCTCTCGGTACCCTTCTGCTGAAACGCGACCAAGTAAAACATCCTCTATTTATTTTAAGAATGATACTAAATCTGCCAAACTAAATGTCTACTGCTATTTTGCTAAATGCCTTCCATTCAAACTCCAGCGTGAGTCGTTTCTAATAGTAAATTGAAGGAGGCAATTACTATTAACTCTACCATGGAAAATTATTTTCACAAATATTACAGTCTTTATACCAGCACAATATGAAAATAAAGCCAATTGCCCCACTTCCTAATATAAGCACATTTGTTATTACATATGAATCATAGCCATTTATTTATGTAGGTTGGAAAACTTGTTAACCTATGTAGTAATGACCACCTGTAGGATGTTTTTTAAAAAAATTATTATTCTTGATAGAAATGTAGAGCAGCATTTCTTGAAACTAATAATGATGACAAAGGCTGAAGCAGGCTTCAGAAAAGGGCATGACATGATGTAGGTGCTTTAAGGAAAATGCGACACAGCAAGCTTTCTATTTTTAAATCAACTGGTTTTACACAATGGCAAACAGAGTAGTTGTTCTGAATATAAAAAACATGTAAATAATTGGTCTTGGAAGTATACATTTAATTTCAGCAATAAGCTCCTTACCATCTCACACTGTAAAATAGATTTCGGTTGATATGAAGCCTCCTAGAAAACCTAGGTTGTCTCCTCTTCAATGTTTTTTTCTCATCTAAACTGTGAGCAAAATCAACCTCGTCAGCACCTCCCATAACATGTAAGACCTAAAACTACGCTTTGTGTTTTCCAGGTATCGTGACAGCTGAGTTTAGTTTTGAAATTCTTCAGACAGAATGAATAGCTCATGGAGGAAGGAAGGGAATTAGCATTTATTAAGTGCTTACTATGTGCTGTGTACTGTGCTGACATGACACATTTCTATGAGTGCTGTTTTTTTTAAGTATGCACATTTCCCCCTTGACTATTTGCTCTTCAGTGTGCCTCAGTGTTTAGCCATGAAAGTGACCTTGAAACAGTAGATGGAGCAATGGGACATTCATGGCTTCTGGCTTTATCATCATTTTGGAGCAAAGGGAAGTTCAATAAAGT